TATTATTTTTAATCCCTCACACCAAACAACCCCTTAACCACTTTTTGTTTCGACCTCAATCAAGCAAATAGGAAAAGAGCATGTTAAGCACCACCGAGGGTGGTGGGACTACTTCATCCATAATTAGAGGTCTCGTGTTTGAGCCTTAGGTATGGAAAAATTCCTGCTAGGAGTGCCAATCCCGAATGAGCCCTACAGTACGCGATTTAGATTTAATTGATACTTCAATGTGGACTCCAAATAGCCATTGGGAACCAAAAAATCCATGCCTTGATCTCATGGAATTACTCATTAATTAGTTTCTGATTATTATAAAGGGATATATATATATATATATACTGTTAATACCTTTGAAGTGCCTCATATCTCACCAAATGCAAATAAAATAAAAAATGGTGCCTTTGATGAAATAATTATCCTATAACTTTTGATGACGAAGTACAATATTCACGGCTATGAACCTGTGGTTATTATCTCAAAGTACATTACGGGCAATGCAGATAATTAATATGTGCACATGTTTTAAATTCTCATTTTTGCTGGTCCCTTTCGTATTTGTTTGTAAAATTCCACTTCTCGGTAGTTGAATAATGTATTAAATTATGTTAATTTTATCTTAAAAAATATTAAATCCAACATTACACTAACTCCAAAACTTATACTAATAACTTTTAAACTATATGGTGGAGTTATGTGGAAGCTTACAACTAATTGCATATCATATGGTTGATAAATAAGATGACAAAAATTGATACTAAAAATAAAAATTTTATTATATGATTTTGCCAATTGACCCACGTATTTAAAAACTAATAAAATACATAAAAACTGTTGAGAGTAAAATCTCCCCATAAACAAGACTCTCTAAACGACTACATTGTGGATTTTATTGTGTTTTGCTATGAGAATATGGATCTTCAATTTATAGAGAAAAACCAAATACGAAGAGAACTATATTTTCCTTTCCGAAAAAGTAAAAGCAATTATGGTAATGCTTTAATTTTTCTTCGAGGGGAAATTAAAACTCAAATATGGTAAGAAAATCAGGGCAAAACTCTACACATAGCTATAAGACAGATCAAGTAAATTAGTTATGGATTATATGAAAATTCAATTAGGTAAGAGTTATTTAGTGACGAATTAGCTAGGAATTACTGATTTATTACATAGCTAATTTTATGTTTTCTCTTAGTGTGGATGATCGGGAGACTGGGAGAGGTCTAAATACAAAATATATGAGTTCATATGAATTCAGTTGCTTGAATATTTATATATTTAAAAAGTTCCTAAATATTTATTTATAAGCTCAATTATATTGTTACCTTGATCGCAAATTATATATGCTACACCCCCAGCCTGTGGTGGGGTTGTATATTTCTTATCACGATTATATGAGTGGAGTCGTTGATGGACACCAAAATGAATAATTGTCTTTTGTCTCTCTTGTAATCTACAGTTGCACTCGATATGATTAAATTTGTGAAAGCACTTTGAGAAAAGTTATGTACAGAGCCGACTAATTTGTAAATTTTGAGATAATATTGTTACGTACTTCACTTATATCTGCTCTATTTATTTTCGTTCTTATCTTTGATTTAATTTGATCAAAGCTTACATCAGCTAATTAGGTCCCTTTAGCTAATTAGTGGAAATTACTTGCCCTCATTAGGCACCGAGAAAAATAATAATATAAAGTAGTGTTTAAGATGACATGTAATAATCTTTGAAATAAATTTGGTCTTATGTGAAGAGAAGTCCAGTTACAGCCAGAGGCAGAGCTATGTGAGGTTTGGACGAACTCATTAGTTTTTTCGTAGACTCTATATTTGTATTAGAAAATTAAATAAACATATGTGTATTAACATGTGAACCTCCAAACAAAATTGATTTAGAACCCTCAAACTCCTAGTTAACCTTGGTTCCGCCTCTAGTTACAACGCATTTGATGCGTTTGATGTGATTATGCTCACTGTCTTCAACTCGAATTATATATGAGTGTATGTGAATTTGAATGAGAATAGTACATAATGATCCTTTTTTCAATCTGTTACAATTTTCACCTCGTACAATTAACTCTTAAACCATAATAATCATCAAAGAGATGAATTTTCACAAGAAGGTTGCTTAGTAATACATATATAGATGGTTCACGAGGTCTATCTTTGTAATTATGCAAGGCTTAATTGTCATTCTCCCATTACTCAAGTCATCCAAATTTAGTAGTACTATTCAATAAAAAAATTACAAAAACAAATTACTATTTTAAGAGATGGATGATATGCTTTGAGAGGAGTGTTTCAGCTTGGGCGGTTTCTTGTTAATCTAGTCTAGCTAACATTAACACCCTGAACTGTGGCTGACAATTTGTTACCAATCTCGATGCCTCGGCTTTGTCCCTGGCCTCTTTTCCCTTTGTATTCGCATCCAATGTAATTTGATTTTTAATAAACTAAAAAAATATCCTCGCTCTCCTTAAAAATGATATCATGTTCGTATTAGATTCTTTAAAAATATACTAGTTATGGAAATCAAACATACACCTGTTCAGGTTTTTGAAAAGTCCGAACAACGATCTTGCACAATATATTCATATATGAGTATGTAATTTTTTTAAAATGATGTCGCATCCGTATCATATTCTTTAAAAATATACTTAGTTTGGAAATCAAACAAACACCCGTCGATATTCTTGAAAAGTCCGAGCAACCAGTGGCGTACACATAATTTATCATAAGCGATGTCACCTTTTAAAATGATATATATATATATATATATATATATATATATATATATATATATAATAAAATTACAAAGCACCAAATAATTACTACTAAACAATGAAGTTCAAAGAAAAAACACATAGAAAGTGAAAAAATGAGGCTGTGAAGGTTTAGGACTGAAACCTTGACTATCTTGACTATCTTCAACACAAAATCATCTAGACTACGTGCATACTTTGTTTAAGGAGTGTCACTTATAATATATAACCGTTGTATCTGCTTTTGTTTCTTAACTGTATATACCTATATAGTAAATTTTTCAACAAAGCAGTGTCACGTGACACCCCTTCCAAGTCCCACCTTCCTAAATCCGCCCCTGCAAGCGACGGTCTTGCACAATATATTCATATATGAGTATGTAATTCTTACATAAGTAGTGCATTGTTTGATGTTCATAGTAAACTTTACATAACTACTACTAATATGTTTGATTTTCCCATAACTGATGAGAAAATAACAAAATTATATTTATATTACACGTCTTTAGCAACTCTATATCAACAAAGTCGTTGTAGTATAGTGGTAAGTATTCCCGCCTGTCACGCGGGTGACCCGGGTTCGATCCCCGGCAGCGGCGATTTTTTTTGTGGGCCTTTTTTGGTAACGGAAAAAAATCATATTGGGCTTCTTCCATTATGGGCTAGTAGGAGATCAACCCGAATCCAATTGATTTTGGCCCTAGTTTCAAATTTCGCACAAGTTGCTATATTTTTTTTTCTTCAGCCAAGTTCTGACCATTCTTCCCGTTCACTCTCCCTCCGGCGAATTTTCACTCTCTTTGTTCTTTGCGATCAAGTTGTAAGCTTTCTATCTCTCTTTCTTTTCTATTTTTGGATTGTTGAAATTAGATTTTTGAGTATTACAAGGTGGAGAATCGAACCTTACATATGTGAAAATTCAAATAGTCAACATCCCGCTCTCTCTATCTCTTTATTCCAATGATAATAATGATAAAAGTATGAATTAGGGATATTGTTTTCTTTCTTATCCATTTTATTTGCTTCTCGTGTAACTAATTGTTCCATAGTTGTGATAGTGTACTAATACATGTAGGTTTCTCACATTTTGGGAAGATGTAAAGGAAACGAAAGGATGGTATAGTGCATTCCGATTCAACTAATAAAAATGATCAAGTATGTGCCCTGGACTAATCTATACAATAAGGTTAGGATAGATGGAATCACCTAGTGTTTTTCTCTACTACGTTGGGATTTGAAATTGAGAGTCATAGTTCTGAACCCACTTCATTGACCACTAGGCCACACCTTTGGATGCGCATTTTTGATCTTTTTCAACCACAATTCACGTCTTGACCGGCTCAAATCTAATAGTAATTGAATTGCTTGGAAAACTTTATCATTGATCTCTTTATTATTACTCCCTCCGTTTCACAAAGAATGACCTCCTTTCCTTTTTAGTCAGTTCAAAAAGAATGACCTCTTTCCTTTTTTGGTAACATTTTACTTTTTGCTTTCCACGTGGCATGTTTAAGACCACAAGATTAAGGGCAATTTTGTACATTTGACGTAACTTTAATTTAGGACCACAAGATTCAAAAGTCTTCTTTATTTACTTAAACTCCGTGCCAAGTCAAACCAGGTCATTCTTTATGAAACGGAGGGAGTATTATATATAATGTGCAATAATTTGTATTGGTCTTTGTGTTTCTTACAAGTTAATATACATTTTGGTGATCTCAAGAGTATGGTTGAATGGTTGAGGAATAGGAGTAGTAAGTAGTGGTAACCTGGTGATCTTAGGTTCAAATCAAAGTTACACTACTTAGGGTGATCCCATTTTCCCTAACCTTGGTGAATAGATTTTGCCTGCATTGTGCTTGTGGACTATTACAGACGCACAAGTTGGTTGAAGCATTACTGTCATTTTTTATTTGAAAAAAGAAATCAATATGCATTCCATTTGCTTCTGTGCCTTTTTTATTTTAAAAGAGAAGTATAAGAATGAAGATGGAACAGTAATATAGTGTATGGAGTGTTTTGTGCCTATTTTTCAAATCTTCAGTAAGCGAATGGTTTAAAGTTGATGTAGGAAAGGAAAAAAAACTGATCCAGTTCATTATACTGGTAAATATTTCCATTTCAGAAAATTAGTATTCAGTTCTTATTCTGTTCACTTTAATGAGTTCTGCTGTACAAGGCATGGATTGAATCATAAATTATGTACCTATCACCTTTTCCTATTCATGATTGTGGATTTACAGTTTCTCAAATGGATCCAGAAGCTGCACGGAACGCACGGGATTCACTCGATCTGGTATTTCATATGTCAAACATTCTTGACACTGGGCTTGATCGTCACAGTTTATCCGTTCTGATTGCACTCTCTGAACTGGGTTTCAATCCTGAGGCCTTGGCTGCTGTAGTTAAGGAGTTTCGTAGAGAAACACCGGCTTCTTCTTCTGTCCAATCATCCGCTCCATCAGCATCTTAGGCCGATCAATTTTGAATCCCATTGATTGCTGAAATTTGATGGAACAATCTCAGAAGGAGCTCTTTCTTAACCCTTTTATTCTTCCCTGTTGATTGATATGTTAGTGGTTTGTTCTCTTATCCAACTTTAGCTATCATCTTCTACTTTGTTGGGTGTTCTAGTATTGCCTCCATATGTTATAAGCAAGTACTTATCGAGGAATAGTTTTAATGGAGTTCAAAAGGATGCTTTTACTAGCTGCTGATTGATTATTTCCTGAGGTGCATTCATTCCAATGCAACCCTGAATGACCAACTAAATCATTAGTCACACAACCATTGAGCAATTGTAACCAATTTCGCTGCTTGCATTCCATACGTGCTTTTATCCTATCAGAGTGGCTTCCCTTTTTTGTTGAAGAACTATTGAGTTGTTGAATAAACTTGGTCAGCAAATGATTTTTCTGTTAGTGCATCCTATGTCAATTTTATTGTCTTACATACAGAAAAGGTAAGATTTTCTGTGGAAAACAGTTCCATTTATTTGAAATGTCTTTGCCTACAGCCTACATTAATGTATCAAGATACTAGAATTTTCTGTATGACATGATATCTAGTATCTGATCTAACAATGGGGATGCACTCCAAAGAATGCTGGCTTTTCATCCATCTTTTGTGTGGTTATATCTGCTTTTCATTTGTGGAATCATTACATTTCTTCTCTCAAAATACTGATTTGTTTCTGTTATTGATGTCACTATGTCAAGACAGAAACAAGTTCTCCAAGTTGGTTGAGTCCTAGCAAGTATGATCTTTTTTTTTTTTTTAAATGGAGAATTCCTGAGGCACAACTCACAAGGTGAAGGGAGTTTTAGCACCTACGTGTGGCCTAGTGGTCAATGTAGTGGGTTGAAAACCATGAGGTTTCAGGTTTAAATTCAATAGAAACAAAAAGCACTAGGTGATTTCTTGATCAACAGAGTCAAAATTGTTGTACGGAACCATGTATTTCTTTTCTTCTTCCTATTCTATTGACTACCTTTATTTTACAGTTGTGTTACCCAACCAATCTTTGGTAATGGGATGGAATCGATGCTACGTACTACTAAATACTACTAATAAATAGATTATTCTGGTCACTCTGCTTACTCCAACCTCTCGTAAATTAATTATACCTAAACGAATCATGAATGGAATAACATACGATATACGTGGTCTTCAGATTGGATCAAGAACAATATCAGAAAGAAAGAGGAAACTAAGACTATCAAACTAGTCTAAAAAATTGTTAATTCAACCAGGTCTAGCGAACTAAAGCTAACCATCCACCAGAGTTGTATACATCATATGAATAGAAATTGATTAAATGTTTATTCAGTACAACGACATTGACTATAATGTCAAGAGCACCTTTTTTGTCCTGGTCACAAAATATAAAATGCCGTTAGAATCACTAGGATACTTTTGGTACAAACTTTCTCCATGTAATTAACTTGCAGGTAGATAAATAAATAAAAATGGAAGGAGTATATATTTAAACTATTTAACTCATTTTTAATTAGTGATGAGTCGAATATTTTAGGATCAGTTCATTTCGACCCGACCCGAAAAAATCTGGAACACTAATGCATTACTATTTGTGGTAGTGCTTACGCAGGCTGGAGGGAATGAGATGCCTAGTAGGCAGTAGCTAACTTTAGCAGCCTCCACGTGTGTTGGTGTTATGAATGTGTTGTCACTATCTATCTCTGTTTTAAACAATTCTAATAAAACTGCAATCGACAGAAGAATTAAGGATCGGTATTGTTCTTTAGTTGCAGGCACAAACCTTTAGTTTTTTCAGCAGCAGAAGAATATATAATCATGGGTAAATTTTTGACTGTCATGACTCACCTTCATACTCTTGCCGGGTAAATATTTTACTTTTTATTTGCATTTCCTCTTTCTCACTTAAATATCCTTCTGATTTAATATCATATGCAGGCCATCCGTGATGTTGCTCTATCCTCTGTAAGTATTTATATTACTTTATACTTAATTTGTTTTTTGAATTTCGAGAGAAAAATCTTTTACCTTCAAAAACCAAACCTTATAAGATTGTATGTTCAAATTTATGGACAAAATTTCTTAGTTTGACTCTCGGAATCTGAACTGTGCCATAGAAATTGGGACGGGTAGAGGGAGTAATGCATTTAAACCACCTTAATTATTTCAGTTTTCCGTGAAATGTTTGATATTTTGTTTTTGTGATGATGAAAGATATGCATCAGTAGTGGCTATAGAGAGCACATCTAAGTTGGATGATGAGCAATGGCTTGCTTACTGGATTCTCTATTCTTTTCTCACTCTTATGGAGATGCTCCTTCAACCCATGCTTCAATGGTAAGTAACATCCCTTTCTGAATTCACCTGCCCTTTTTTCTTAAGATAGCTAACAAAAGGAACTAGTTAACGGCCACCTTGTAATTGGACTTGAGTTAGTTACATATAGTTTTTTTTTTAAAATGTGTGTTTGTGTATCCATTTGCCAAGGAAGTAGTTGATCAGCATGAATTGAAGTATAATTTATAGCACTTGTTACTCTGTATTCAATTACATGGTGTAACTATCAGACGAATTCAATTTTTTTCTTTTTTCATTTCTAATAAACATCACACTACAATTTCATTTTGACAAACAAACAAACAGGTTATTGTAATGGAAACTACTCTGTAATTATTTGGCAATGTAAGTTACATTGCGACTTTACACAGCTAAATAATTACACAGATGAGAAAAAAAGAAGTTGCACAGGAAATGATTGTATTTAGGGCTTGGCTAGCGCGGTTTACCTCCCCGTGTAATAACCTGCAAACCACACAGGGTGCTCACCTGAAGGCCGCTGTGGCAGAAATTGTAGCGGCTGCGGGTTATTCTAAGGTTCCAAAAAAAACTATTAATTTGTTCACGTATAATGGGTAGCAGTTACAGAATAATTTCCAAACATACCCTAATAGAAAGACAAACAACAACAATAACATACCCAGTGTAGTCCAACAATAACTAATATGTTGTTCCCCATAGAATCGAGTAGACCCTGGGAAGGGATGGAGAGAATATGATCTTCAATTAGTTTTCGAAAAGTGTATAAAATCTTAATTCAATTTTAATGTACTTGGTTTGTAGGATACCTATTTGGTATGATTTGAAGCTAGCAATGGTAGCATGGCTGGTTCTTCCCCAGTTCAGGGGAGCTGCTTTTATTTATGAGAAGTTTGTTAGGGAAAAACTCATCACCAAATATGGAGCTCGATATTTCAGAGACAAATCTTCTCCTCCCAAGGTGATTTAATCATCTCTTTTGTTAATTGAACCGATCATGGCCAGTTATTGGTCTATTAGTTATTGATTTATATATCATGCCCACCTATATATGTTGATTTGTTTATAGTTAATGTAGGTCACAAACTTGAAATGAATAGATTTTATCTGATGCCAACACACAATGGAGATTTTTTTAAATATTGCAACTCTCAAATGCCAAAGAATACATTGTATCGCGATTTCATGTGCCATTTTTTTGAGAGAATATATTATCCCCAGGAAGTGTGTAGTAATTTATTTGAATGTTTTTTGGGACAGGTGAGCGTGAAACCCAGTGAAGATCGGACTGATTGAGGAGGCGGATTTATGTGAAAGCGTTGCGTTCTAATCAGCGAAAGAACACTATTATCTGTAATAATACTAACAGAATAGGAATTGGTGAAGATCTTAATGTGAATGTTATATCGCCACTTCAAAAAATATGTAATACTAATAATCGTTTGCTTATCGATGAGAGTTGTTAATTCTTTTAGTTTGATATGCATATGTATGGAATTAGTGTCTGTTAATTGTAGTGTTCTCAAAGTAAGTAGAGTTTTTGTAATCCTCCGTCCTACCATTCTAACACGCTAGATCATGGATTTGTAATCATCCATCACTTTAATTTCCTACAAGTGATGGATAACCTATTGTATCTCTGTAATTTCATCAACAACTCCCTTGTACTATTAAACAAGACATGAGTTTTAGTATGGACTCGCAGTGTCAAATATTTGACCCTTTTTATCCATTGATGAGAGACAAATCTAAACCATGGACCATTTTTTTTTTCATCTATAAAATTCACTATTCAATTGATCGTATACGTAATAGATGAGTTGATTTTAGTTGTAGCTATCGAGTGAAAAATGAAAATAAAATAAAATTGTGTGTAAGCACAACAATATATATAAATAGGAATCGATGATGCCTATATCGATCTGATCTGTCTTCCATACAAAAAGACACATGACGACCGCTTTGACTGAGATCGAAAACGTGTCATGTTGCTTCCATGCAGTGGTGCCAACAGTTGTAGTAAATACAACACCGCTTCCCCTCTTCATCTCTATCTTTCTGTTTTGCTTTTATTTTATCAACGATATAAGTGGATAACAATAACTCTTTTGTTTTCTCATACCATTATTATTAAAAGAGTCCAAATCATCAGAGACAATGTTGGTTGAACTAATTCACAAATTTCTCAACTTAGTCGCTCCTCCGGTTTCCTTCTTCAGCTTGCTTCTTTTCTTACCACCTTTTCAATTTTTCAAGTGCGTTCTCTCAATTTTGGGCACACTTTTTAGTGAAGATGTTGCTGGAAAGGTCGTCATCATCACTGGGGCTTCATCTGGCATTGGCGAGGTTCGTTATTTTCAACCATTTTACTCGTTTTAATGTATTTTGATTTCAAAAAAAATACATGGAAATGGAAATGTGAGTAATAATACATGGATTATTTTTATGTTAGGATCACCTAACTTTAGCTGAGTTTTCTAGAAATGGAAATGTGAGTAATCTTCTTTTTTACATAAACGAAAAAACTCTAGTGAAGGGGCTAAAAATTGCTACATTTGAATCCGATTTATAATTGTGGCGACAATTAATTTGCAGTATGTGGCATATGAGTACGCCAAAAGAGGAGCATGTTTAACCCTTGCAGCCAGAAGAGATAGGAGTTTGAATGAAGTGGCCGAAGGGGCACGTGAACTAGGCTCACCAGATGTTATAACAATTCAAGCTGATGTTTCGAAAGCCGAAGACTGTAGAATGATTGTTGATCAAACCATGAGTCACTTTGGCCGATGTCAGTTTTAATTCGTTTGATTTAAATTTTTTTAATCATGTTTTATGCATGTAACTCTTTTTGTTGTGTTATTAATGCAGTGGACCATCTGGTTAATAATGCTGGAGTGCACGCGATTGCTCTATTCGAAGATACAGATGATGTCACTGATTTTAAATCTGTCATGGTAAAGTGGAAATTGATTTTGATTTGAAGTTTTATCACAATAAAACCATAAATAAATAAATTTTATGATAACTTACCTTTGGCAAATGTTAATGATACCGGTGACAAATAAGTTTACTAGTGCTATGTACTTTCATTGTGTTGAGCTAGAACAGAAGCTTTAATTTGGGTCTGGACTACCCGTGGAATACCGAATTTAAACCTGGATGAATGCTAACAAGAGATTGAGTTGGCCATCTGATATAGTTTGTCGTTCTTAGTCATTTTCATAGTTGATGACTCAACCGATGTATATTAATCGGCTATATGTTGAGTTTTTAGGTATTGACTCGCATTTACCTAGTGTTATATGTGATTTTTAACTTGATGCAGATAAAATGTGTGTGCACTACTCGTGGACTAAAGTTATAGTAATTGTTATTTACATGTTTTTGTATTTCGCAGGACATCAACTTCTGGGGTTCTGTTTACATGACCCGCTTTGCGATTCCATATCTTAGGTATAGTGGGGGAAGGATCATTGTGCTTTCTTCATCTGCTTCTTGGCTGCCTGTTCCAAGATCAAGCTTTTACAATGTAAGTAGCTAAGTATAAACTTAACTGCTTTTATTCTTCCATTGGAAACGGTAACATTTTATCTTGATGACTCTATTGAAAATTTTGTCATGGCAGGCAAGCAAAGCAGCAGTATCTCAATTCTTCGAGACGTTAAGAATTGAGTTGGGGCAGGACATCAAGATAACCCTGGTGACGCCTGGCTTTGTTGAATCTGAACTGACGCAAGGCAAATACATCGGTAAGGGTGGCGATGTAGAGGTTGATCAAGGAATGAGGGATGTAAGTTTTCCTCTTTGCTACTAGTTTCTGCATTTAATCTTCATCTGGCTATAGATGGCAACTAGCTTGATATTTTGACAAGTTACTCAAAATTTGGTTCCTTTCCACGAACAATGCTTTAAGAATATACTTATGGAAACCAAGCTTAAATACACAGAAAATTGGAATTGGAATTAACTTATGTCTGAAAAATGACACTGTATAGATAGTGGCTTGTTGCATCATGCTAAGGTGACTTAAAATAACAGGTACATTGTGTAGAAAATGTATTTATGTAACATACGAATTTGTAGATAGCCACTATAACAAGTAAAAAGTTGTTGATTGAGTAAACAGTCTTTACACATCGTCTTTGTAAAGAATGTTTACTCGATTTTAGCACCGAGGGACTATGTTTCTTCTATTGGTTTGATAACTTGATCGGTTCAGGCTAATGTTTCATCATTTGCTTCTACAAAGAAAAGAATTACGTACATTATTCATTTTGAGCAAGAAAGTGGACATTTTTGTGTGAACTAGGTATTCATAGGCGCGACTCCAGTGGCTAAAGTTGAATCATGTGCCAAGACAATCGTCAATAGTGCTTGCCGAGGCGAAAGATATGTTACAATACCAGCTTGGTTTCGGGTTAGCTACTTGTGGAAGGTGTTTGCCCCCGAGGTGTTAGAATGGATGTATAGGCTGATGCATCTCACCGGAACTTCACCAGAGGATGCACTTAGCAAGAAAGTAGTGGATTATACTGGCGCGCAAAACGTGTTATATCCCGAGACTATCAGGACTGGAGAAACAAAAACTGATTAATGTTCTGATGTAAAAGAGGTTGTAGTTTCATGAGTTGTGTTGTCTCCTGTTTCCTACAAACATGAGTTTCAATTAGAAAGACCTTTGTATTGTGACTGAATAAAATTGAGGATGTTTCATTAAATCATACAGTGTGTTTGTTCTCTGAAAATCAACTGAAAGGACACGATGTTATCAAGGTCCCAACAATTGAAGAGTGGCCTTTGCAATTACTCTTTACAAGGACAATACAACTAGTTGTGGTCTTATTAATAATATACATCAATTTATAAAGTTAGATTAACATGACATGAATATTTTGGATATATATATACTAGACACGAGGATAAGAACAAAGAGCTGTGTTTGTTTGTAAACTCTCCTGGGGCTGGGTAATACCTGGGATCGCTATCTATGATAGTCGTGTTAGCACGGGTCCAATAACATATACTTTAAGTGGTTAATTATTGTAATTTATAATATTTTTTACATTTTAAAAATAATATATATTATTTTCCTTGTCACAATATAGGCGCCCCAAATATATGCTAACACAAATAGAATTTCAAGAGTCAATATGTTGTTAATAACAATATGTTTTTACGTAGTTTCCAATTAAATAATACATGTTACCTCTTTTATTTCATTTTGTGAAATAGAAAGATTAATTTTATGAATCAATCGATTTTTTTTAATAAGCAAACTATTTTTTTTATGTTTTTTTTTAAATATTTTAAGTTGTCAATTATCATGATTTATACTATTTTTTAAGTAATTTTTAGATATATAAAAAAAATAAAAAATAAGACAAACAAATTAAAACAGACGAAAAAAATAGAGAAATGTATATGTTGTGGAACAACACAGGTGAAGCAAACGGTTGGTTGTCCACACTTATATATAAATAGTGGAAAAAAGATAAGAAAATGTATATCCAAGTGTTAAAATCACACAGATGAAGTAGACATGTTGACCGTCACGTGATTATCCACTTCTATATATAAGGAGTGGAAGTGGATATATGAGTTTGAAAAGAACAAGTATTTTTTTTTGGTAATAAAATGTGAAGAAGACGTATTTTGAGTAATTGGATTTCTCATCTTAAATCCAAAAATTAATGGGCCATTTCAATTAATTTGTTTGATTTTGATTTTATTTAATTATATAGATAATTTTAAATTTTAAATGTATAAAATATGTTTAGTTTTTTAGTCTTAAATGTATCATATAAAAAAATAAATTTAAAAATTAACAAAAAAGAAGAAGAAAATAAACAAATTGAAACGGATAAAGTATTTTGAGTAATAGTTTATAAATAAAATATTGAAATATCTTAAAATATTGCGTTGATAAATCACATATTTATATATATTTTTTCATAAATAAATATTTACAATCACAAACTCTTAAATACACATCATTTTATTGAGATCATTACTCAATTATAGCAATAACTATTTATTTTTGTATATAATAATATGCACAATCTCTTCTTCCCGTCGAGTATGAATTTTTTTGTCAAAAAATTAAAATCATAAATCTTTTTTATACAATGTCATGACTTCAAATGTAAGCCTAGTATATATTAGGGACCAAATTAGTCTAACCCATGTACACTAAAGGACCAGTTTGATAATTTTTCTCCACGTAAATCCACATATCAAACGGGCAGGTTAATAGTGCTGACCGTGAAACAAAACGTGGCATTGGCGGGTAAAAATTC